CTAGACACCGCCCCTCGCCCGGCGCGCCCAGCGCACCTCTCCACCTGCGACACGAAGCGCGTCTCGAAGGCGCCGCGCGTGCGCAGCTGTTCCGACGCCTCCCCGCGGAAAAGCAGGTTTTCGTCCACGAGTTTGAGCAGCACGAGCCGCACCAGCTCGCCCATGTACTTGCCGCCGATGAGCTTCTCGTACCTGCACAGAGGGCGGCCGGGTCATCCCCGTCATGGAGGTCCCCACGCGCGGCCACGAGGAGGCCAGGTGGGGCACTGTGACACCCCGCTTGCACACTTGGGTTCGTGCCGGTCCCCTCATTTATCAACCAGGATTTTAGGATTAGGAAGCGCTCTGGGGCCTCAGGACCGCACCCTGCCCTGCTGCGGGGCGTCGGTGCGGGCTGCGCGACCGTCCTCACGAGGGCCCTGCGCTGAGCCCACTGCGTCCTCCCACAGCCGCGGGACGGGAGCTGTTCTCATTGCCCCGGATGGTTGGGAAACTCAGGCTCAGAGGGACTGGGGCCCTGCCTGGGGCCCTGGGCTCCTGGGCTCCGCCGAGCTAGCGCTCGCGTGTTTCACATATGTGAGCCTCTGCGTTTTCATCTCGAAGTGCACTGAATCCCACCGACCTAGCGGAGGTTTAGGAGCTGATGAAGGGATTACACGCGCCCGGCAGCGAGGCGGTTAATTAGGATAGCCATGACTCAGGACGAGCTCTGTGCGGGCTGGGTCTCAAGCTGTTCAAGCCAAACCGCAGCATTCCGCGAGAAACACTACTGTTCATTCTGCGACCGTGGACAGATGTCTACTCCCGGGAACTCTGGGCTGAACCCGCTGAACGTTGCTCGGGGGTCTCAGAGCCTCCCTATGCAGTGGTCACCTGCCGGAAGGGGGGTGATCCCGGCTTATGTGTCCACAGACCCTCTTTTTGGGGACTAAACCTTCATGTCTCTCACGGTTCCTGGTTCACAGGGGGCGAGTGAGCGCAAGGAGGGAGGAGCTTGCAAAAGGATTGTCAGTTTGCTTTTCCCCAGAGTTGTTTAAAAACAAGCCCATTATCTGCCTGCCTGAGTAGGGTGGGGGTGGGGGGCGGCAGCGGGCAAGGTCCTTACAGCTGCTGGCCGGGGTTCAGGGAGTTCTCGTCCACCACGCGGTCGTACTCCAGCAGGAACTCGTCCAGCTCACCGGAGTCCCCGAAGGCGCCCCACTCAGTGTTGACGCACATGCGGCCCTCGTCCCCTTCCACGAGCTCCACGTTCTGCATCTCTTCCATGTAGCAAGCGTTGCAGCCTGTGCCTGTGGGGACCACGGGTCAGGCCCCGCTGGGGCGGGGGTGGGGTGGAGCAGGGGCGGCAGTCCTGGGAACCCGCCTCTCCCTGCAGGAGGCCCCCCATGGCCCTAGCTTCCCAGCTTCCTGCTGCCACAGCGACCACTGCCTGGCCTGGCGACGTGGGCAAGGTGACTCTCCCAGGGGCTAAAAGACCTGGGTTTGCTGTGTGACCTTGCATCCATGAGCCCATGTCTCTGGGCTGTTTCTCGTCCCCAGTAGGGGCTGGTAACACCTTATTCCCTGGATACTTGGGAGGACGGAGTGAAACGTGTCAAAGTGCTTTGCCAATTAGAGATGTGTGTGGTTTTATCTTGGTTACCCACCATCCTTTTTTTTTTAGCACTTTACGTACATGTGCTTGAGCGTCTCTGTCCTGGGCCCTGGTTTGGGGGCACCCAGAGGTGAGTAAGGCACAGCCTGGGTCCCTGGGACTGCTATGGAATTTGTAATTTGCAGAGTCCCTTGCAAAGTGAAAACGTGGTGTCCTTTGCTGAGAAATGATGAAGTTTCAGAATGGTTTCTGAGCGTGACGGCATGGATAGCATGCCCTCAACACCATTGGGGACGTCAACTCTAATGCTGGCCAGTGGACCTGCCCAGCAGGAATGGGGCCTTCCCATTTTTTTGGTGTGTGTGTGTGTGGAAAAAAACCCCCAGAAATCCAGACTCTGATGTGCATCCTCTCAATTTCTGGATCTTGGTCATTATCATAAAGATGTTTTTAAGCACTGAGCAGAGTGTTTGCAGGACAGGTGTGGGACCAGGCCACCCTCAGCCATCTCTGCTCCAGCAGGGGTGTGCCCAAGGCAGGGGCTGCAGAGCTCAGACACCAAGACAGGGCATCTTGGAGAGCCGTGCCCTGACTCAGCTGCCCTAGGCAGCTCTGAAGGGGACAGCCGGGAGAGCAGGGTCCTGCCCCTCCTGTTTGGGCGGGGGACTCAGGGCCGGCTTTCCATCTGAAAGTCAAACATGGAAGGAGGAGATGTGAGCAATGAGAGGAGGATGGAGCGAGGTCAGGCGGCAGCTGAGGATGTGGACATGCTGTTGGAGACAGGTTTGTGAGCGCACACAACCCCTCAGGGCTGGCTCTGAGGGGCCCCGCGAAGCCAACAACTTTGCCACTGACTTTCTGGGGAGCCAGAGCCCAGACACCATGCTTGCATGCCCAGGAGGTGACTGCCCAGACAGGAGCCATGCTCAGTACACACTCCTGACCCTCAGGAGCTTCTAGAAAGGCCCGAGGTCCGCTGGGGCCAATGTCGCTCCCGTCCTGGCCTTCGTGCAGGGACAGGAAGACCGTGCAGGAGAGGATGGTGCCACCTGTGCTTATCCTCTTCCACGGGGACAAGTCTGTCCAGTTTGGTCAATTTACCAGATAAGGGGATGTAATTAAATCCCAATGGGCCAGGCAGACCTGTAGCCCGTGCGCCGTCTGATGCAGGGACTTGTGAGTGTTGGGATACACTAGCTGCATTCAGGACGCCCCTGCATCTCCCCAAGACTGCCCCACACCCTGTCGCCTGGCACAGGGGCCCTGCTCTGGCCATCACCCATGGCCCAGGACTTTCGGCCCTCACGCCTCAGGGCCAGAGACAAAGGCAGGCAGAGGCTCTGTGCTGCCGAGGCCCCTGGATAGAGCAGGGTGTGAATCCTTACCCACAATCATGCCAACCTCACACCGGCGGTCTTCATAGTAGCAGGAGATCATTGTGGCCACCGTGTCGTTCACCATCGCTACCACGTCCATTTCAAAGTCCTGCCAAGAGGCACAGAGGCAACAGGGATGGGGCTGGGGTCTCGGCTCGGGCCGCTCTGGGCTTCGTGCCGCCCGGGGAGGGACGCCCAGGAGGCCGTCCCTGGCTTCGTGTCCAGAGAGGAGGGGGGCTCCCAGGGCGGTCAGGGGGTGCCTCACCCCTCTCCGTTTGATGGCGTCACGGAGGAGCCCCACGATGTTGTTCCCTTCTGCTCCGGAGGCCTTGAAGCCCTTGGTCCAGTTGAGGAGGATGCCCTGAGGGAAGAGGAGGGCGGGCCTGTGGCTGCTGACGAATGCTGGGGCAGGGTGAAGGCATCCCACTCAGCAGACCATGGCTTGGAGACGACTCTCTATGACTACTTCCAATTCTGCAGGGCCGGCCTCCAGCCCAAGTGAGAGTGTTTCTAATGGAAAGCCCAGCGGCACCACCCAGAGTAAGGATGAGGTCCGGAGGAAAGCAACCTGTATCATGTTGGGCCTCCTCCCGTGCAGTACACCCAACTGGAAGAGGGTAAGCAACAGTGGCCTCACCCCTTCCTGGACGGTCTCCCCGGGCCCCAGAGCGGCCGTCCTGTCCCTGCCCTTCGTGCGCTGGGGGGCCCGGGCTTGGAGAACCCAGGAGCACTGCACTGGCTCTCTCTCTGAGAGGTCGTAGGTGTTTTGTATGTATTTATAACTGACGTGTACAGATGTGTGTGTAATTTATACACTGTATGCGTGTAGAA